TTATCATGGTCTATGTCATCTGAATTACTAAAAGATGTACCTTATGGTGTCAGAAATGAACATGGGAAACTAATACTTGGCGCATTTCGTGTCTATGATGATGATCACATCTTAAAAATTGGAAATCATAGTTTGAAAAAAAAAACGCCAGGCTTAAAAGATTTATTATTTAAAAAGCTACCAATTTTAGGTATTGTAACAGAGGAAGACTTACAAAAATAGTACTTTGGATACTAATGCACAAAAACATAGTTATGATCCATCCAAACCGATTAACAGTAACAAAGGATTTAAATATATGCAAGTGATCAAACCATTGTTTAAGCACTAGAGAAATCATAAAAGTAGTGTAGAAAGTCTTCCAAAGGGAGAAGGAGTTGATATTTTAAAAGAAGTTAAAAAAAGATACTGATTTGGTTTACTGGAACGATCCAAACGAGTTAATGGAACGATTAAAATTACTACTAGGATCATGGGCAGCTGGTAACACAGGTGCTTAGAATGAAATTTATGCAATAATCGAAGAATTGCATGAACCTGGCATCATAAAATACATTAAATATATTATGCTGCCTACAAGAGGATTACACAGTACCATTTCATTACAGAAGCCGATAAGACGGCTATGAATATAGACAAGTTTGGTCATCATGTTCATAAGCGTTTACGACTATCTTAATGCAGTTAGTAAGAACAGACGCAGGTGATTTTGATTTGAAATCAACAAGATTAAAATGACTACATACTTCTGAAAAAGAAGATGACGCTGTGAATAAAGAATATGTGGATAAATGAGTTCAAGAACTTAAAATTTAAATGAAAACAATTCACAATAATGTCAAAAAGTACCTTAGCAATTTAGATAAATTGACTACTAGCAATTTCAGGACATTGTATTACACTAAAAAAGGAAATCGACCTATGATTCATCAAAACCTACCCAAAATGAGTAAACAAGATATAGTCAATGAGATTCACAAAGCAGCAAGACGAAATTTTTCTCGTCAACATACGATAATTAAAGGAATAGATGATTTATAGCAAGCTGACCTGCACAAAAATGTTCTAGTAGTAATCGATGCTCTATCAAAATACGTATGGGTCCGAATCGAAAAAAAATTGTGTCAAAAATGCGATGCAAAGTTTATTATCTGAATCAAAACGAAAACCTAAAAATTTACAAACAGATCTTGGTACAGAGTTTTATAATGATTATTTTAAGAATTTAATGAAAAAATAATATAAATCATTATTCCACGTACTCCGTTAAAAAGGCCTCCATTGTAGAACGAGTAATAAGAGCTTTAAAAAATCGGCTTTACAAAATATTCAGTATATGCGGACGATATCAATGGTTCAAAAATAATTTAGATTTTGTTGTAAAGCGGTATAACAATACTATACATCGCATTACAAAACTCAAGCCTATCAACGTTAATGATTCAAATGCGATTTTAGTTATGTCAAACATCAAGAAGTCTCAAAAACTTAAGATACGTCAAGGACCAACGTTTCACGTTGGCGATTACGTTCGTATAAGCAAGTACAAAGGAGATTTTTATAAAGGTTATACCCCTAATTGGTCTACAGAAATATTTTGTATCGTTAAAGTCAACTAAACCAATCCTCAAACCTATCAAATAGAAAACAAACACAATCGAAAAATTCTAGGCTCTTTTTACGGTTACGAACTACAAAAAACTAAATTTTCAGACCTTTATCTTACTGAAAAAGTCATTAAAAGAAAAGGAAATAAGCTTTTAGTAAAATGGTTAGGTTTGAGTGATGACGAAAATAGTTGGGTGGATAAAAGTGAATTAGTGGTGTAGGTATATAAATAACGTATTATTACTTAATAATCTCATTTTATAATTATCGATGAAGGAAGGCAGTGGTATAATTAATAAAGTAATAGACAATTTACCGTTTGAGTTACATTTACCTGTAATATCAATATTGCGGTCCCGGAACGAAACTTCAAAAAGGGTTACTCAAAGGCGATCATGGGATAAACAAATTGGATGAAGCGTGCATACTCCATGATATTGCTTACACTAACAAAAATTCGGGCGCTCGACAAAAAGCGGATTTAGAACTTTTGAAAATGGCTAAGCTGAGGTTGAAATCAGAAGATGCTAGGAAAGGGAAAAAATTGCCTCATTGCACTCGGGCGGGGAGCGCTATAAAAGCATTTAAGAAGGGGATAAAAAAATACAGTCTCAGTTGAAAAAACTAAAATCCAAAGACAGTCACTCGGCTTTAAAATATGCCTATGCAGCTGCTAAGAAAATATTTAGTAATAAAAAAAGGAATAAGTTTACCCCGTTATATTCCTCTTTCAAAGTGTGGAGGACTTTTACCCCTTATTCCCATATTTGCAGGATTGTCAGCTTTAGGATCATTAGCTGGTGGAGCAGCGGGTATAGCAAAAGCTGTGAATGATTAGTATTCAGAAATCTGAGAGACACATTGATTCCAACAGAATGATGGAAGCCGTTGCTCTAGGAAAAGGATTATACATTAAACCTCATAAACAAGGAGCAGGTTTATATCTTAACCTCTCAAAAAACTAATTAGACGGCTACCCAGACGGGCGCTTACTAACCTCGACATATTAGGACATGCAAGTGACATTCCATACTTTCGCGGCGTTTTCATGAGAAATAAATTACCTTTGAAACCGAGAAAGATAGAATGTGGAATACTGAATTTGGATAGCTACAGAAATCCTGGAACGCATTGGGTAGCCTTTGTAAAGCACAATAAATACGCAGAAAATTATGAAAGTTTTGGTAATTTAAGGCCCTCGTTAGAATTAGTTAAATATATGCATAACTTACCTATTAACTATAATTATGCGCGACATCAAGCGTTTTGGTGCTACAAACTGTGGACATCTTTGTCTAAAATTTTTAAGGAATTACTGGAAAAAGCATTTATATAGTGTATGAAGTAAATAAACGTATCAGTATAAAAATGTCTTTCACTGTGTCTATAACTGGAACGGAGCCTCTTTATCAACGAACTATTCACCGACAATAGAACTACGAGGAGACTACGAATGTGGCCTTTTGTATTTTTCAACTTTCAATTCTATTCCCAATATAGATGAAAGAAACGATAAATTTTAATGGTGAAAAAGAAATGATCGAAATTCCTGAAGGGTCTTACGAGCTTCAAGATATTTGTGATTATCTAAAAAGTAATATTAAGAACACTGTACTAAAAGTAACTTGTAACAATAATACATTGAAAACAAATATTTTTCGCTCTGAAGATGTGTACTTTAATAGAAGCGAATCACTGCGTAAAATTTTAGGCTTTGATATAGAAACAATAAAATCAAATATAAGTACTGAACCTAAGTATCCTGTCAGTATTCTATCGACTACCATCGTGCGGATTGAATGCGATGTAGTTAGTGGTTCATTTGTCAACGGGAAAGTAAGCCACGTAATTTATGAATTTGCACCTAATGTACCACCTGGTTATCGAATAATTTACATACCTAGAAACTTGATTTATTTTCCTGTTTACCAAAGTTCCATAAGTGCTATCAATATAAAGTTATTGAACGCTGAGAATAAAGAAATAAATTTACGAGGTAAAGAAGTACAATTGTATTTACATTTCCAAAAAAAAAAATATGATAAATTTCAATAAAAGCTCGTCTACTTCGTGTATCCAAGTCATTTTTAAAAGAACATCTCATAAAGGCAAACCTCTTCAGCTAAAAAAGAAGCTTACCAAGTCTAACAAAGAATTTCTTAAGCTAGCTGGCTAGATAAAATGAATATTTTTAACGTATCTCAACAAACATCATACGATAACAGCATTGAAAGTTTTGAGTATCATTCATACAAACCATATGTAACTAGTTTTAACAAGAATGACGAAATACGTATTCCTATTAATCAGCAAGACCTGTACGTACTACCTTCACTCAGTAGTTTATATATCGAGGGGAAAGGTGAACGTTTACAACAGCACCACAAAACAAAAGGTATCAATCGTACATTTTGTCAATAATCCTATGCTATTTCTTTTTCAAGACATACGATATGAACTTAATGGAGTAGAAATAGATAAAATTAAGAATGCTGGTGTTACTACTACAATAAAATCTTACCTATCCTTAAATAAAATGAATCCAAATGTGCTCAAGTTTGGGGCATGTCAACTGGCGGAACAAGCAATACTAGCGGTGGAGCATTTTCCGCGTTTATACCATTGAACAAGATATTAGGACATGGTCATTCATACCCATAATATTTCACAACCTTTCTGGTTATGATTGCCATTTATTTATAAAGGAACTTTCAGCCATTTGTGGTCGTATAAATCTAATACCCAGAAATAAAGAAAACTTTATTTCATTTACTAAGTTTATTCCAATAGAAAATAATAATAATAATAATAATAATAATAATGGCGTAGGGAATTGACGACCCCATCGCCCGCTGACGTAACAGTTAAGTGACAAAACTGCTACGTCAACGCAGTCAGTCAGCGCCTTGCGAGAGGTGTGAGCGCCGTGCCTCGGCAGAATTCAGGGTGCAAAGGCCCGTTTGTGCTTATGGCCGTCCACGATACGGTGCCGGGCCTGGGCGTCTCCCGTTAATGGACGCCCATATTATGGATGATGGAGAAAAATAGATAGAAAAATGCGCAAAGGGCTGCTGCCTGGAGGTCGCCAGGGCGCGTATCTGGAGCTTGCGCTGGACGCGACAGCATGCGGGCCGCCAGCCGAGCGCGGGGTGTTGCACGGCCACCTAGCAGCCCCCCGCATCCATCATCCCCACCAGAAGGCTTGGTGTCGGCTGGGTCTTCTCGGACTCAGCAAGCGGCACCCGCCGCTGGTGGAGCACGTCGCATGCGTTGGTCTAAAACAATGAACGAAAACGCACTGCGGGCGTACTTTAGGGCAAAAGGGGAAGAAACAGGATGTTTGGCATATCGGGCTCGGATGCATCGCTTTTTTTGCAGAGCTGGAGCCATCTCTATCCGTCACTGAGCAAAACCTGGCAGACCGAGTTAGGTACATTCTGCGCTCCAACATATTTGGTGACGCCGAACTCGAAGCGACTACGACGTGAGGCTATTCCTTCATCGAATGGAAATGCTACGGCTGGGAATGCGGCGCCACTAGATGCGCAGCAAACTGCATATGTGGACGCTGCCGTCAACATTCCATTTGTGGCTAATTCAGACGATGATGGAATAGTAGTCTCCCACGAACTAGAATAGGAGAAAATGAGGAGCATATTGGAAGAGTCGATGCTGGAAACCCGCAGCATGCCTCTCGAAAATCGACCGCGACTTCCCCCGCATACCCCTTAGCAAGCGAAATCGGGCTGTCGTGCGGGCTCTTAACCCAATGCTGGTGACCTATTTGGAAGCCAGCCGGGACCTTTGCGAGACGGATTCAATTCTTTTTGGCGCCGCACTGGCAGTATGCCGTATTATTGGCGCCAAACTTCCCATGGCTGGACGTGCTACTCAAAAAAGTAGCGCCATCCCAGCCTGGAGAAAAAGAATCGAGGACCGTATCGCAAAGGCAAGGGCCCTTATCGGCAGACCGACGAAAGTACAGGCAGACGGATAATAATAGACCGAGGATTATGCGCACCGTTAGAATGGCGTTTGCTGGGACAAATATCAGTTTGTTCCAGCCGGATATCACGCAAAAACTAACGGAGCGCATAGATGACCTGAAGCAAAAAATCGCTGCTTGGGGGAAGCGGATTCGACGATTTAGCGAGAGGTCAAGGCGGTTCAACCAGAATCGTCTCTTCCAGAGTGATCAGAAGAGGCTCTATAAATCATTGGAGCGACCAGAGGCATGTGGAGCGGGCCCAGGACCGGATCAGGCTGACACTGTCGCATTTTGGCGTGGCCTGTGGTCAGAGCCCGTAAACCACTGCGAGGGCTCCTGGATGGAAGTTGTGGCGAGCCGGAGTGCGAGTGTTACGCCTATGGACCCCATCACCATAACGCCGGAAGACGTGGATGAGGCGGTCCGTAGGGCCTCGAACTGGAAAAGTCCGGGGCTCGACGGGCAACATCATTACTGGCTGAAGGGGTTCATAGTGTGTCACGCTGTGCTCGCCCGACAGTTTCAACAGGCTCTCGAATCACTCAGAAGTCGCTCCCGAGCCTCTTCACTACTGGGATCACTCACTTGGTTCCTAAAGATCAGGATACCACAGACCCGAGCAAATACCGCCCCATCACGTGTCTACCCACCGTATATAAGACACTGACATCCATTTTGAGCGCGAGAATCACTCGTCACCTGGAGCTAAATGTCAGGTGATGTCACGCGCTCAAAATGGATGCCGGGGCGGTGGTCGTGGAACCAAGGAACCACTCCTCATTGACGCGGTCATTGGCAAAGTGGTGAAACGCAACCATCGGAATTTCTCCGCCGCCTGGATAGACTACAGAAAGGCATTCGACTCGGTGCCCCATACATGGCTAAAGAGAGTCCTCCAGCTGTACAAAATTGACTGTACAGTTGGAGACTTCCTCGAGCAGTGTATGGGGCAATGGAGTACGATCCTCTGCTATCTGGGCGAGCGGATGATGGCTGCGGAGAACCACATAAGGATAAGAAGGGGGATTCTTCCAGGGCGATTGTCTGAGTCCAATCTGGATCTTCCCTGAACCCTCTCAGTACCTTACTGGAGGGCTCCGGGAGGGGATTTCAGCTTCGGAAAGGGAGGTACAAAAGTGACCCACCTTTTCTATATGGATGACCTCAAGTTATTCGCCTCCAGTCGCTCCCATCTTATGGAATTGCTAAACATCACTTGTGAATTTAGCAATTCTATTGGAATGGAGCTGGGAACGGATAAGTGTGCGGTCCTCCATGTTGAAAGGGGAAGAGTTGCTAACTCTGAGGGCATAGACTTATCTATGCCCGTCAACTTAAGGACCCTTTCCGAGGCTGAAACATACCGATACCTGGGTATGTCACAGAACATCGGTATCGATGAGGCTGGTATGAAACAGTCAGTTTGCGACGTGTTTTATGCACGCTTGACCAAAGTGCTTAACAACCTTTTGTCCAGTGTGAATAAGACACACGCATATAACGGCTGGGTCATGCCTGTCCTCACGTATACCTTTGGCATACTCAGATGGACTCAGACTGAACTCACCGCCCTGGATAGAAAAGTCCGCACTACCATGACGTCCCACAGGATGCATCATCCGAGATCATCGGTAATGAGGCTGTACTTGCCGCGAAAGCATGGTGGGCGCGGTTTCTTGAGCGCGCTCACCATGCATAATCGCGAAGTGTGCAGCCTCCGTAATTACTTCCTGGCGAGATCGGATGATCCATTCTATAAGGACGTCATTACTAGTGATAAAGGACTTACCCCTCTATCCTTAGCCAACGAGCAATGGCAAGACCCGGCAGTGCTTAGACAATTTCCGACCGGGAGAACGTATGGAAGGAGAAGGAGCTCCACGGGAGGTTCTACAAGGCTCTACATGAGCCCTTCGTAGACACAGTAGCCTCCCTCAACTGGCTACGCTTCGGTGATCTCTTCGGGGAAACCGAGGGTTTTGTCTGTGCAATACAGGATCAGGTTATTAAGACCAACAACTATCGGAGATACATCCTAAAGTATGGCACCGTGGACATCTGTCGAGCTTGTCGCCATCCCGGTGAGTCACTTAGGCGTGTCATCTCCGGTTGTTCGGCGCTTTCTAACTCTGAGTACTTGCACAGGCACAACCTAGTAGCCAGAATTCTTCACCAGGAGCTCGCTCTGAAATACGGTCTCGTGGACCGGAAATTGCCGTATTACAAGTACTTGCCGGAAGCCGTGCTCGAAAATGACCGCGCCAGGCTCTATTGGGACCGGGCCATCATCACAGACAGGACTATTCTTGCGAATAAGCCTGATATTGTGCTGATGGACCGGGCACAGTCAAGGATATTTTTGGTCGACATTACCATTCCGTATGACGAGAACCTCGTGAAAGCCGAAACAGACAAGCAAACAAAATATCTGGACCTGGCTCACGAGGTGACCGACATGTGGGGTGGTCTGCCGACCGAAATTATTCCTGTAGTCGTCTCTGCAAACGGGCTAATCCCAGTCAGCCTCTCGAGTCATCTGAGGCGACTGGGACTACGTGGCGGACCGCTCCGGGCTCAAATGCAGAAGGCGGTGCTCCTCGATACCGCCCGCATCGTCCGCCGGTTTCTTTCCCTTTCCCCCTAACCCTCGGCCGTTTGGTCTCCCCTGCCGAGGGCCTCCATCTGGTTGGGCTTTTATTTATTTATGTATTTTTATATTTATTTTATTTTATTGATATATATGTATATTTATCTTTTCATTTTATTTATAATTATATATTTATAGAACCCAACCAGATGAGAAAACTATATAGATACCCCACAATAATAATAATAATAAGAACTCAGTTCAGTTGAAATTTATTGACTCTTTCAACTTTTTGAGCTCGAGCTTAGATAATTTAGTGAAAACGATGGAAGCGAAAGATTTTAAAAATTTACGTAAATTTTTTGAAGATAAACATTTATTTAATTTAGTTCGAAAGAAAGGTATCTACTGTTATGACTATATAAAAAAAACAATGAAATTTTTCAATCATCTTACATCTCAATCTGTTTCAGATGAAGATTACAGCTGCATTGAAGGTATGGAATAATTTTAAAATCCGTAACTTAGTGAATACACCGATTTATATTTAAAATGTGACGTATTACTGTTGTGTGATGTTTTTGAAAAATTTCGAGCTACAAGTTTAAAACATTATAGTCTTGACCCATGTTACTACGTCTCATCCCCATCATTAAGTTGGGATGCTATGTTGTTTCATACGAACATACAATTAGATTTACTTTCAGATATTGAAATGTACCAATTTTTAGAGAAAGGAATTCGTGATGGTCTTGCTCAATGTTCTCTAAAATATGCAAAAGCAAACAATAAATACATGTCCTATTATGAGAGCAAGGATAAAAACAATTTTTTAGTTTATCTTGATGATGTGTAAATTTATATGGTTTTGCTATGATGCAAAAGTTACCAACGGGGAACTTATTTCTAAGTGAAAAAAGAAATTAATCAATTTGATATAATGAGTGTTCCTGATGATAGTGATATTGGGTATATTTTTGAAGTAGATTTGCAGCAGAAAGGTTTGCTCTGCCAGGAAGCAAACATAAAAAAATAATAGCTAGATTGTACGATAAATGTAAATATGTTATTCATTATCAGCATTTAAAACAATGCTTACGTCATGGACTCATTTTGCTCAAAGTTTATAGAATATCGTCATTTAGTCAAAATGCATTTTTAGCACCATATATTTTATTAAATACAACACTTAGACAAAACGCTGCTTCAGACTTTGAAAGAGATTTAAAAAAAAAAACAATTCTATTTTTGGAAAGACAATAGAGAATAAACGAAAACAAGTCGATGTAAAATTGGTTAATGTATGGAAAGATACATCCAATAAGACTAATAAACTATGCGGAGCTGAAAAATATGTAAGTGCTAAGTAGTGCTCCTAATTTTAAAAATTTGTCAATAATTTCAGATTCGTTAGTAGCAATCCAGTTAGAAGTAACAAGAGTTATTTTGATCGCCCAATTTACAATGGATTTTCAATTCTGGATTTAGGTAAGAGTCATTTGTATCATTTTCATTACTCTATAATGAAACGCATGTATAAAAATTCGCTGCAACTCTGTTATACTGATACTGATAGTCTCCTGTATTTAATAAATACAAATGAATTTTATGAAGACATGAAAAAAAAATATAAAATATTTTGATACAAGTAATATCAAAAACGATCATATGATATGCCCAAAGTAAATTGTAAACTTTGGGTTTTGCAAAGACGAAATGGGTGGTGATATAATAACTGAATTTGTTGGATTAAGAGTGAAATTATATTGTATTGATTCTAAAACAACCTCAATAAGGAAAGCTAAGGGTATTAAAATCTGTTACTAAAATCTTAATATTGAAAAATATAAACGAGCGTTATGGTCTAATGAAAACTTTAGAAAGAGTATGTGTATGATTAGATCAAAGAATCATCAAAATTTACTCAAAAAGTTGATACACTTGTACTTAATAGAGATGATGACAAGAGACAAATTATGGCAGATGGCTACAATACGTTACCGTGGGGACACTACAAAACTATATTTTAATAAATTTATATATATATATAAATATAAAAAAAAATAAAAATTGTAATGCTACTACTATGTACTGTATAAGTAAAAGAGATAAAT